CTTTTTCAATTACACGACAGTAACAACCGACAGAACATCATCGCTAACAAACAAGTAGTCCGATACCTAGGCATACTCCTCGACTTCAAACTGAACTTTAATAAACACATAGAAACACAAACAGACAAAGCACAGAAATATTTCTACAGCCTTAATCGACTATTTTTCTCAAAAAACGTAAACACAAACACGAAAATAATATGTTACAAATCACTAATTCGTCCCATACTGACTTACGGCTGCCCTATATGGTTCAATATTCCGTCACACACAATGAAGAAAATAAGAATATTCGAATGCAAATATCTCAGAGCCTAGGAAAATACAGAACCCCAGAATCTAACTAGAAAAAACAAATCAGAAATGACCAATTATATAATCAAGCAAAAATAATACGGATAGACCTATTCGTGTTAAAACTAATCCGCAACCACTGGGCAAATAATAGAAATGTAAAAAGCAATAGCCTAATTTATAGCTCGACATACCCTAACTCGGGATACTTCGAGAAAACGCGCTACACTGGATACACCCCCTCTGAATCCTTTATATACTTAGACAGGCAAGGTTATATTCAGGACAAAGAAAACATACCTCTCATCTACCACGTTCCCAGAAAGACACACCAAAACTTCATTCTATATGATACTGACAGAAAACCGACAAACCCCAACAAAAGAATTAACGACAAACTATCAAAAATAGACAAAAAGGATACACACCGAAATAACCTTAAAAGATACTGGTGGTTACAGAAATAACATTACATTGTAACAGTTAAGTTCGGTTACGATCGAGAGGATGTGCAAAAAGGCGATCACCAAGAAACGATCAGTCGAAAAAAGCCACGGAAGTGTAAAGATTTACTTTAGCAGAGGGAATTAAATTTTTACAATATATTAATTGTCATTGATAATTTAACCCTTGACAATGCTAGTCTTACGCACCGATGATGATCAAACGAAAAATTCGCTGTCAGTCCCTAGAATCCACACCGTCCAAACGAAAAGTCTATTGTCAGTCCCTAGGGACTGACGCCGCCTGAACGGAAAGTTCACTGTCAGTCCCTAGGCCCCGCAGGGGCTACGGTCGACCTTGGTCGGCCGTAGTATGGGATTGGCGACCCCACGGTGCCTAGCTGACGTGCACCTACGTCGAGGTGGGCTGGCAGCCTCAGAACGGTAGTGGTTCACCACGAACGGAACGACCGGTACGCCCGTGATCAACGGTACCACGGGAGACCGATTTAGCCCTGGGCCGGCTGTCTTATGGCAGTCCGCCCGTCGGTCGCTGAGTTGGCCTCGTGGTGGCAGTGGTTGGAGCTTACATCGCAGGCAAGAGCTCTCGAAGCCCGGCGCGAGAGTTGCACATCATACAGCTCGGGTGCTGTCCTCCTGAGGCAGTAGGGATTTAGAAAGGTCCCGTCCCAACACCAAGGAAGTCGACTGGGGCTAGCATCCCAGTTAGATAAATTGGCAGGACCGATTGTGTTCTTGGCATTTTCGGTTCGCGTTGGTTGGGCGTATCCCAACCCCTCCATAGGGGGGTGTGTGAGTATTTATCCCCATCGCCCTCGCGGAAGTGGCACGCTGGATAAGCGCAAGCTTGAAGCAGCATACCAACCAAACTCAATGTCAGTCCCTAGGGACTGACGTAGCACTCAACGTGTTAAAAAAAGAAAAAGGCAGGGCCTGCTAAGCAAGCCTTACTGATGAGTCCGCTAGAAGGCCCGTGACGAAACTCATCCCTTCCTTTTCCCGTCGTCCTTCTACCTGCTACTCCCATCGATAGCAACGACGAGCACGGGGATACCACCAGGCCAGCATCATAGGAACAACCACTATCATCACGCAGGACAAAGAGGACACCACCGCACTTAGTCAACTTCTCCTTTGGAGACGGAATATTGGGAGTGGGCTATCTACGAAGACCTAGATACCTCCGCCCCTTACAGGGGATATTTGCAAGTCGCCGTGAAAGTCAGGGTCTCGAACAGCATAGCGAACGAGGAAAGCGAAACAATGACAGAAAACTATCTTAACTCTCCCTATGTCTCCGGATTCAAAAGTTTCAATCAACTTACAACAAGACAACAGAACAACAAAAAGCCACTAACACGCTTAAATTTTGTGAAATGTTTAATCGATCAGTTACTAGGAAATTTCCGACATCAAACACTATCTACAGCGCAACCTCGAACGTCATTCGTAGACATTAGATTAAATAATCAGCTTCATATAATTCGTTCAGGAGGCAAGAAAAACTGTGCACTATGTTCCGACAGGAAAACTCCAGTAAAAAGATGACAAACACACACATACTGTGATACTTGTACACGAAAGCCAGGACTTCATATCGGTAATTGTTTTGCAAAATATCATACTTTAGAAAATTACAGAAATTAAAAATTCTCTATTTTTACGTATTATAAGTAGTATTAAACGCAACAAATCAGTTTCACCACATTCTGTGAGTTTTAATATTCATACATTGATTTTAAATCCTGTACGGGAAAGTAACTGCGAAACGCTAAATTTGCTCCGTCCTGCTGGTACTTCCAAGAGCGAAATCTGCGGACAGCAAAGAGTTAAAAGGGTCCGTCCTGGAAGACAGAGAGTTAGTTGGAGGTTTAGTCAGTTGATATTTAGTCAGTTAGTTGTCTGTCAGTTGTCAAGTCAAGAGTCGTTGAGATCAGTCAGTTGTCGAGTTAGTTAATTATTAGTCGGTTATCAAGTTAAGAGTCGGTCAGTGAGTCAGTTATTAGAAGAGCCAGTTAGTCGGTTAAGAGTCAGTTAAGAGTTAGTCAGTGAGTTAGTTAGTTAGTTAGTCAGTTGTCAGTCGTAGTTGCTTAGTGAAGGTTTATCGGAGTGACTTCATCTTTCGCACCTCACCTCTCTACCTTTCACCGTGATCTTACATTTCGTTGAAATCTCGTTTGGGATTTCTACAATAAATTAATAACAATTATAATATACGAAAAATTATTTCCTTACTAATAAGTAGTTTTAATGTAGGGATTTGAATTTCCTTAATCCTTTTGAAAAGAATTATTTTGGAAGAAACGTAGTAAAAATAGTTTTTGTTTACTATAAGTTTGCATAGAGTATATAATATAATGCATAGGGTATATCATTTTTTGAATCAGAATAACTTGCGAAATAAAGTAGAGAAGTTCATTACTTTCTTTGCAACATAAGTTAAACATAATGTTTACATTTTTAACATAATGTTTAAAAACAATAATTTTGATCTTCTTTTTCTCACGATTAAATTACGTTAGAAATATTTTGAATAAAATTTAAACATGTTTTTCAGAGGGGAACGTCTACCTAGTCTGAAATGTGATCCTGTACCAGGACCGACAGCCTATAATGAAGTACTGGTTAAACAAAGAGCTCCAATGTACAGCATGGCTTATAGACAAGCACAAAAAGAAATGTGTCGCTCTCCGGGTCCAAAATATAACCCTAAACTTGAGAAATCACGTCCTATATATTCCTTCGGTATCAAACACAGTGAATGTGCTCCTCCTTATTTTGTTGAATGCGATAGTCCCTGTTAAAAGCTTGACAATTGTGAACAAACAGTATAAACATTCAAATATTCGCAAAATAATGTTTGTGACTTTATTACTTTATTTCGTCG